GAGTCTCTTACGCAACTCTCAGCTTTCCCATCTGAAAACTTGGGAGGGTGAAATCTGCATGCCAGGAGCAGAGACTCAGAGGGTCAGCAGCTACTGCTCCTACCCAGTGCCCTGCAGGACCACAGTCTCCACCTCAGCTCATCCAGAGCAATGAGGTTTGGAGACTTCACTAAGGGGAGAAGCAGGCCATGAGAACAGAGCACTCCATAGCACTCCCTAAGGGAAAGAAGTTTATTTGGAAGAGAGTATGGGAAAGTTCAAGTCTAAGAATGCTCTCAAAGACAACAGAAATTTTGGTGGTAAACAATTAAGAAGTGACTGTAACTCCACAATAGCAAGGGCAATAAACTAACACGGGCAAAATCCCCATGTGCAGGCTCATATCTTCAAAGTTGGGAAAGTCATGACAAATATTCTTCTATGCCAAAAGCAAAACCATAGGCCAGTTTGTTTTTGTCCAGAAAAAATAAGGAAAAGGGATAGCTAAGAACCTTCTTGGGTCAGAACAAAGTTCAAGTTCCATGATGGCCTCAAAAACTATGCAAGCAAAGAGGCATGAGTATAGTTAGACAGGACTGTACGTAATCTATATGCTAGAGCACTGTGGAAAACCATGGGACAATCAGTTAGCAATTAATAAAGATTAACAGCTAGGTGTGATACCAACAGAGACAAAAGCTTCCTGGAGAGACAGGGAAGAAGACAACTGATGAGAACCCTGCTAAGACACCAAGGTTTAGCTGTGTGTGTTCCCAAGCCAGCACTCTCAGAAGACCAACACCCAAGGCTTCACACTCCAGAGACAACCGACTCCACAAGAATAGTCTGGCCAAGTCACTGAACGAAAAGAAGAGAAACAAAGACAACAGTATGCCTTGGGTTTTTTTGTTTTGTTTTGTTTTTCGTGGTGGTGGGAGGTTAGACAAGAAAGTTCCTATATGATTTAAAATGTCATCTTCACAAAAATTACATGACGCACAAAGAAAAAAATACGCTGCAGACACAGGAAAAAAATCAGACAACAGAAGCTATCCATGAGAGCTACCAGATCTTTAAGTTCACAGGAGAATCTTCCAAGCAGCCATTATAAATACATTCAAATAGGGCCAGTAGGTGGTGCGGAGATGGAAAGTGAGAAAGCGTTCACCATAAAGAATGGTCATGCTGCAGTCACACAATCCCTTCTCCTCCGTTTCTTTCTCTTTTCAAGATTTTAAGCATGTCTGCACATGTGCCAGGCATGTTTTCCAAGTCTCCAGATCTGGAACTCAAACTACACAGTCAGCCATGTGGGATCCAGCTATGTAAGTGCTTTCTTTTTAAGACGTGAAATCATTTATTGGTTATTTTTCAGTACAACCAGGAAACAGTGGGATATTGACTTATAGGAGGCTTTGACTCTCTTGCGTGTCAGCTTAACATTCCATAGGTGGAGGGAGGGTGGGTAGTTTTTATATCCTAAATACAAAGCATACTAAATGGCAGTTTGGAATCACGGTCATGCATTTAATGTGTCTTGAATATTTTTAATTACTTCTATTATGTTTTTTAGTAGTATTGTTACCTAAAGAAAACCACTCTTTGATTGTTGCTCTCCCTGTCAGAATTGTGTGCACTCTGTAACATCTTTGGTCATGGTAGTCCAGTTTTTCTTAAAATTCTGTTAATGTGCTGTGAAGGATTGGAAATTTGAAGTATGTAGTCTGTATGATACTAAACTGTGATCTGGTAGGACTTACATAACAGCTTTCAACATCTGAAGACAGTGGTTCTTGATATACTCTTAAGGAAAATTCGCCTACAAATCTGAAGCTGGAATGTCATTGGAATAAAGTAGAAAGAATCACTATATTTGGCTTTTTAAAGTTTTGGTATGTATGTTAAGAATTGGGTATAAATTGAAATGTCTATAATGATCCTTGACATAACCAATACATCTCGGTTACAAAAAAAAAAAAAAGAAGAAGAAGAAAAGAAGAAGCTGCCTAACTGTAGTAGTGTACATGGCCAACACACTGCTCTGCAGGCTGGGACCACATGAGGCCCCAGTTCGGTCACTGGTTAAACCCTAAGAGTGATCGTGTGGGCGTGTGCCTGTAATCTTAGCAACTTGAGGTCACTAGTGAGCGTGTAGCTGGCCTGGGCAACACAGGGAGACACTGCCTGAAAAAGAGCTGGGCGTACTACACACCTGTAGTCCTGGCTGGAATGCTAAGGCAGGTGAACTGAGATATGGCGAGATTCTGTCTTTAAAAAAACAAAACCTGAGAGGTCACCTCAGTGAAGAATGCTTTGGAGAAGAGCTTATCCCAAATACTGGGTTGTTGTAAAAGTCAGTAATTCATTTTTCCTTTTTTTTAAATGATTATTTTTATTATGCTACCTTTATTTGTTTGTTTGCTTAAATTTGACCAGAGGGACAGAATGAGAGAGACAGAGAGAGAGAGATATAAAGTGAAAAAGCAAGCCACCAGGTCTGGGACTCAAACTGTGGTTGACCATGTGGGAGTCCAGCACCCTTAACCACCACATCACTTGCCGGCCCCAGGACATTATTTTTTCTATGCAAAAATGTGTCATGACTCTTCTAACAACCCAACAGATAAACAGCCACTCCGTGTGTGTGTGTGTGTGTGTGTGTGTGTGTGTGTGTGTGTGTGTGTTTTCCCTTTAGTTTACTATATGATGTATGTGCTTGCCAGAGAGAGAGAGAGAGATAGGGAAAGTGAGAAGTCACCCCTGAGGAGATGGCCACACCGCAATTCCTTCTTCTCCATTCTCCTCTCAGGATTTTGAGAACACATGCGCATGCCTGATTTTTAAGCCACTGGGTTTGGGACTGGAATTATGCAGTCAGCTACGTGGGATCTAATGCCTTAACCTCCACACCACATGCTAGCCCTCCCCAGCCTATGTAGGTATTTTTCCAGCCTTTTTTTTTTTTTTTTTTTTTTTCGACCACTTTTGTTTCCGCTCACCAGAGAGACAGAGACAGACAGAGAGACAGAAAGCAATAAATCATCCCCCCAGGGGGATAGCCACACCACAATCCCTTCTCCTCCATTCTCCTCTTGGAATCTTGGGCACACACGCACACGGGCCCGGAGTGAGTTTAAGCCACCAGGTCCAAGACTCAAACCACGGTCAACTACATGGGAGTCCAGCAACATAGCCATCATGCCAACCGCTGTTCCCCCAGCCTGTTTTTAAATGTTTCTTTATACATCTCTTTTCACAGACAGAAAGACGGAGTCCTGATAACATGAGCCCCCCATCCTCAGCCAGCCCCCCTTGAATAGCCAGCCCTTTCAGAAAGGCTTTCAGGGGACAGGCTATGAGACCTAACAGGGAGGCTTGTCTCAGTGTATCATTCCCACGCATAATTCTACACTGTCTCAAAACATCCCGTAGTGTGTCAGACTTTGAGTATCTGCTGCCCCTTCCATCTGCATGCCCAGTGAGTGGAGCACATTCTGAATGAAATGTATGCCCCAGGAATGCAGGTGTTGGGACTTGATTGCACTGTCAGTACTGTAACAGTAAAGTTTCCTCATGGCGTCCCTGGTAAGGCCTAGTGGGAGGTGACTGGTTTATGGTGACTGCATCGCGGAGGCAACAGCCTCATGAACAGATCAGTGATGTTTCTTGAGACCCAAAGAATTCTAACTCTTGTGAGAAGGGGTTAGTTCTTGTGAGAGTTGGCTGTTACAAAACCGAGATCAGGTCAGGCGCTCTCTCTCCACCCCCTCTGCATGCGCCCACCACCTTCTATGCTTCTATTGGCAACGCTGCAGGCCTAGGACTTTGGAGTTTCCAGCTACCAGAATCGTGAGGTTGTAAATACATTCTGGCTTCTTTACAAAACCACACAGGGGACCAGCAGTTAGCGTAATGGCTATGTCGCTGGACTCCCATGTAGTTGACTGCAGTTCGCGTCCCGGACCCGGTGGCTTAAAACTCATGCCAGGCGCGTGTGCGTGCGTGCCCAAGATCCCGAGAGGAGAACGGAGGAGAGGGGATTGCAGCGTGGCCATTCCCCCTGGGGGGTGATTTCTCACTTTCTGTCTCTCTGTCTCTCTCTGTCTGTCTGGTGAGCACATGCACCCTATAGCAAAAAGAAACCCAAAAACTTCTCCAAAATAAAACAAAAACAAAAACACCACACAGGTACAAGTGTTAGCGACACAGTAACAGACTGAGACAGCACGTCCCTATCCATGCCACCTACCCTCTTACTGCCACCCCCCTCCGCCATCCTGCTGTGGTCTGGACAGGCAGAAGGGAGCTGACCTAAGGGGGCCTCACTGAGATTGCTTAACCTTGACCTTTAGTTCCGAATTATAAGAGATACCAGTGTCATTAGCTATAGAAATCACGCTTGAGGGTCGTGAGGCTGACCCTGGGTGGCAGAAAGCAGACATGCAGAGCAAGTCCTGGGCTGCCTCAGGTCTAGTAGTTGCCCAGTCTGCTCCCTGTGAGGCCCAGCTGACCCCTCATCTGCCCTTAGACACCTACAGGCTCTGTCTTCATAACCAATTTCACTTCTATTCCTGAGCTGCTGAATAGCTTTCAGCTTCTTACAATTATATGAGCCTATAATATGTAACTTTTTCTTCCTACTTTGCTCCCAAGAAAGATGGATAACACCTGCTCACTATCTTACACTATGATAAGCACTAAGTTTTCCTTCAAACTAAAACACTCTCAAAGCTTTTAACCTTCCAAACCAGGGCATAAGCTTTTCCCCCTTGATATTTAATTATACAGTCCTTATCCTCACACTGAATACAAGAATTTAATGCCTGACCTCTGCAGGGCCAGAAACTGTGCTAGGAGCTCAGGGTACAGAGGCACGAGGGAGGCTCAGCTCTCAAGCCACACTCTGGTTGCCACCATAGCAGCCATATCCCTTTCACAACTGGTGACTATGATCTTAGGGGTGACTTTACCTATGCAGCCCAGGGAGAGGGGCCCCTGACCTTCCTCCTGGTGTGAAATACCTGATAGAAGTCTGTTTTCTCTGCAATGATTTTCAATATCCCTGGTGCAATGGGAGGAACCGTCACCATCTGCAGCTTGCCAAAAAATGGGTTGTGTCCGGAGCTTTTATAGCGCTTCATCTTGTCTTCGATGACGAGCGCTAGGGACTGGGAGTGGTTGATCACCTCCAGCAGCGTGGAGATGGCCACATTCTGCAGGGAGCAGTCGGTCACACAGCAGCAAATGGTCATGAGCGATCTCAGCCAGGACGGAAAGCTGGAATCGCTGGCTCCTACAAGGAAGCCAGCCAGAGAGGACAGAAGAAACAAAGCCACATGAGAATGGTTCCCCAATCTGCAGATTCTGCAATGCCAGTATCTGGGCAGTTATCTGAGAAAGTGACACTCCTGACAGGAGTGTCTAGCTTCTGGTGGTGACGCTTGGGAATAGAGACTTAACAGATGTAATCAGGACATTAGGGTGGGCCCAAATCCAATGTGACTGGTGTCCTTGTGAGAGGAAAATTCCATGTGAAGACAAACATAGGGAGAGTGCCCTGTGATGACAGAGCCAGAGACTAGAGCGATGCAGTGACAAGCCAGGGATTGCCAGCTGCCACCAAAAGCTGGAGGGGCCAAGGAAGGGTTCTACCGAGAGACTCAGAGGAAACATGGCCCTGTTGACAACCTTGACTTTTAAAATTTTTCAATTTATTGTTCTAATTTCAAGGGGACATGCATTTGCCAGAGACAGACAGAGCGGGAGGGAGGCAGAGGGAGAAGGTACTCCCAGTTGTGTGATCGTGTCACAATCCTTCTCCGCCATTTCTCCAGCTGGGATTTGGGGCATGTACACACATGTGCCTGGAGTGTTTTTCAAGCCACTGGGGCTGAGATTTAAACTGTGTTCAGCCCTGTGGGATCCAGCTCCCTTATCGACTAGGCTATGGCACTGGCCTGTTCCCTTGATTTCTGACTTTGGGCCTCCAGAAATGAAAGACAATACATTTCTGTGATTTAAGCCACTCTGTTTGTGGCACCCTGTTACAGGAGTCTCCCCACAAACCAAAAGATCTTTAACAACAGGTGTCACACAATGGTCCATTTACTGACGGCCACTGAGCATCTTCCATGTGCTAGATCTCCAACAGACTGCCCTGGGCAGCCAAGGTTTAAAAACACAGGCCCAGGGACCAGCAGAGAGCATAGTGGTTATGTCGCTGGATGCCTAGGTAGTCAACTGTGGTTCGAGTCCCAGACCCAACAGCTTAAAACTCACGTCAGGCACGTATGCATGTGTGCCCAAAATCCTGAGAGGAGACTAGAAGAGGGGAATGCAGTGTGGCCATTCCCTCTAGGGGGTGATTGCTTGCTTTCTGTCTCTTTGTCTCTCCAGTGAGTACTTGTGCCCTATGGCAAAAATCTCTCTCTACAAAAAACCAACTAACAAACAAAAATAAGGTCCAGTCCTCATCAACCTGCTGACACAAGGCAAAATCTATAGGATCAATTACAAAATTGGAAGGAAACCAACTTGGCCCACATCTCTTCTGGGCAGACCTGGTTTTCGGGAGAGTGTAAATATCAACGCATGAATCCCAGGGTGGGCCCCCTGGTGCAGCGGTCTTACCTGGAAGCTGGAAGAGTGTGTCACATAGCTCCTCGGTCTCCTCCTCAGACAGGTAGACAGGGAAGGTGGCACAATCCAGCAGCAAGTGGCAGGCAGCAGCGAAGGCCTCCCTGCAGTCCTCCCCAGAGCCCCCCAGGTCGATGACTACCTGGTCGACATCCCACTCCCCCTCCTTCTTCCTGCTAGGGCTACTGGGCAAAGAGGACGGTGACTCCAAACTCTTGGTCTTAAATGGGGACCCTCGTGCTGTGAACAAGTCTGAAAGCAACTGCTTGAACTGGGGCACAGTGATGGGCTTGGCCTCCCACGAGTTCTTCCCGCTGGTGTTGTTAATCAATGGGATCTGGGCCTCACCCTTGTCTTTCTTCCCTGTGGGCTCCTCAGACTTGCTTTCTTCTCCAGATGCCATCAGCTGTACCCCAAAAATGTTCTTGCTGGCAAAAGTGGCAATTAGCTCTTGGATGCAAAGAAACGTCCTCTGCATTCTCCCTCCCTTCTTCCAGACGTCGTCTCTATCAGGGGAAACCCGAGGGACCTTCAAGTGCTCAGAGAGCTCCGGTGATGAGGCACTGAGCCCAATCCCACTGTCCTCGGATTTCAGGGGCGGAAATAAAGCGTCTTCATCACCTGGGATCACCACCTTTGTTTCCAAAACTATGTCGCCGTTTCCACCTTTTACTGGACTCTGCAAAAAATGCAAATATTTGTACTGCACATCTCTTGATGAGGGATTCAAGTAGCAGCTCAATCAGGCAACCAAGAATGTATTTCAAGTCAGTATTTCAAAATCATAACTTTGTACACCAAGAGAATCACTATGTAAAAGTGTGTAACATAATTAAGAGGGCCAAGGGCCAGTAGGCCAAATCTGCTGTTTGAATCCTAAACCCAGAGGCCTGAAAGACACGCTAGGCATATGTGCTACATGCAATTCTGAGAGGAGAATGGAAAAGAGATGGCGGAGTGGCCATCTCCCAAGGGGTGTGATTTTTTTTCTCTTTGTCTCTCTACAGTAGGTTCACATGCTCTATGGCAAAAAATCTTAAAAAATAAAAAATAAAAAGGCCAGCCTGTTGCCTAGTGGTTAAGGGAGCCAGATCCCACACAGGTGTCTACAGGGTTTGAGTACTAGTCTGGGTGGCTGGAAAAGCTTGCCAGGCATGTGTGTATGTGTGCCCAAATTCCTGACAGGATGGATAAATGGAAGAAGGGACTGTGGGGTGACCACGCCTCACCTGCTTTTGCCCTCTTCCTCTGTCTCTCTTTGGCAAGTCCATATTTCCTCTGGTACTTACAAAGAAAAGGTCTGGAAGGCTAGCTAACTATGTCTAAGCATTAACTTTAGCTATATAGCAGGCAGAGCATGGGAGTGGATGACATAAAGGGGGCATAACAGCTACACTAAACCTTCTAAAGTGAGGATTTTGCAAACATTTGACATACAAAGCATTGTTGAAAATTCATGGAAACCGTGTATTATAAAAAAAAACTACGCTATCAAATTCTTTTTGGCACTAAAACTCATACTTTAATTCCATTTTTCCATGTGAAGTCTTCACGTGTTATCTTATCTTCTCATCCTTATTCCCATCCTAAGCAAATCTAATTACTTCCCTCCCCCAGGAAAGCCTAAGTTCTTCATGCACTGAACACCACTCCCTCCCTTGCAAGCACATACCGAGCTCCCACTGGTGGCCTCTGCATCTAGGTAGGAAGGTGGCATCTGGACTTTGCTGAGCACCTTGAAGCATGTCTTCAGGGCGTGTGTGAGCTCAGGTAAGCTCAAGGCCTCCATGTCCTCAGCAAGTGGCTGCACCAGGCAGCTGAGCACCTGTGGGAGGTATTGGGTCTGCACCTCGGAGTAAAGCTCCTGTAAAGTAAGAAATGGTTTCAAGATGAGTTTAATTCCCACGCTGTCAATTTACCACTAGGGGAACCAGCAGTTAGTGTAATGGCTATGTCGCTGGACTCCCACGTAGTCGACCGCGGTTCGCGTCCCGGACCCGGTGGCTTAAAACTCACGCCGGGCGCATGTGCGTGCATGCCCAGGATCCCGAGAGGAGAATGGAGGAGAAGGGATTGCGGCGTGACCATCCCCCGTGGGGGGGTGATTTCTCGCTTTCTGTCTCTATGTCTCTCTGTCTGTCTGGCGAGCGCACACGCCCTATAGCAAAAACCTCTCAAAAAAAAACCCAAAAAACAAAAATTTACCACCAGAAAACAAATGCACCTCAGAATGGCACCTTAGTAAATTTGATTTTTTAAACCATAAATTTTACATTAAATTAACAAATCAAAAATAAAAAAGTATTTCCTCTGGATCTAGACAAATCAAAGGCACCATGGCTCCATTCTCAAGAGGCATTACCTTTTCTGAAAGAAATTTATGAAATCACCACAGATTTCATCAATTCTGGGCCAGCCCTATAGCATTGGGAGCCAGATTTAACATGGCTGGCCCTGGTTTAAATACCCCAGTAGCTTGAGAAACACACTCAGGACTCTTACGAGTGTCCCAAATTCCCACAGGACGGAGAAATGGAGGAAAACCAACTGTGGCCTGATCATACCCCAATGGGTGGTGCTCTCTCTCTCTGGAAAGCACATGTACCCTCTAGAAAATCAGCCAACTGTACAATGTTGCTCTCTCTCTCTGGCAAGCACATGTACCCTCTAGAAAATCAGCCAACTGTACAATGTTTAAAAAAACCACTGTCCTTATATCTTTTTATTCCTTTCTTTCTTCCATGAGTGAGAGAGCTTCAAAGAGAGAGAGCACTCCCACAGGGTCCTGACACTGTGATCTACTCCCAGCTGCAGACAACCCCGGATCAGAGGCACAGATGTGCCCGGTCCACTCAGGGAGGCCACCAGATGCAAACCCAGAACCTTCCCACATGGGTCAGCCTCATAGACAGTTGTGGTTTACTGCTACACCACCATCTGGCCCCAGCTGTATGGTTTTAACTAGAAGTAAGCTTACTCTCACCCCTAAACATAAGAGGTCTTTAAACATCTCTTGGAAAATGTACATCATGAAAAAATCATGCATAGATTTAAAAAAAATGTTTTGCACCAAAATAAACTTGTACTTTAATTCAATTTCCATAAACCTGTTGAGATCTCCCACCCCCTATGCCCACCGCTGTAGTACAGAGACAGTCCCAGCTCATTAGTTAGCTCACAGAGCTTCAGCTCAGCCCACTAACAACTGGCCTGAAATTATAATCTCTTTTAAATAAGACATTTAAAATAAAAGAGATTACATTGACTTTCATGCCAAAATAAACACTAAAATGTGGCTGTGTATTTGTTTATTTTAGTTTTGCTATAGGGCATGTAGGCTAATCTAAGACAGAGGCAAACAAAGGAAGAGAAATTAAGAAACTGCCCCCCAGAGGGATGGCCATGCTGCAATCCCTTCTCCTCTATTCTCCTCTTGAAATCTGGGGCACTCATACACATGTGCCTAGAACATTTCTCGAGCTATTGTCTGAGATGTGAACAGCATAACTGGCCTTGTAGGTTCCAGTGCTTTAACCTCCACACTACTGGGGAGTCTGCTGCATATTTTTGTAAGACTGCTTTTCAGTAAATTGAGGTTCATAGAACAGGCCAACAGCATTAATAAGATCATAAATAAGAGCAGGTACTGAGCCTTCTCTTCACAGCACAGCACTTACCAAGGGAATGACATCCAAGAGGAACACCAGGAGAGTGCAGAGCTCCGAGATGGTGGGAGGGGGGCTGAGGCTCCTCCCGGCAGCAGAACTCTGCTTCCCTGCTCTGTAAAAGTCACAGGAAAAAACAAATGCATTCTTTCTTCTATGATATTTCAAACATTTCTTTTCCCTTTTTTTTTTTTTTAAGGTTTTTGCCATAGGGGGCATGCCCTTGCCAGAGGCAGACAGAGAGAGGGAAAGTGAGAAATCACCCCTCAGGAGGATGGTCACATCATTATCCCTTCTCTTCAATCCTCCTCTTGGAATTTTGGGCATACACTCACGCACCCCTGGAGTGATTTTTAAGCCACTGGATCTGGGACTCAAACTGTGGTTGACCATATGGTAATCCAGTGCCTTAACCACCACGCCACTTGCTGGTCCCAATATTTCAAACATTTCTGATGATTTCCAATAAAGTTATTGTAGTTCAATGGAAAGAAGCTTTTATATTAATATGTCTAGTGACTAAGCTTTGGTGATTAAAACTATTTAGTGCAGAGAAGTGTCTGTAAGTGTCTTGAATCTGTGTGTTCTCCAAATGGTCCACTCTGACTCTAACACCATCAGTTCACACGTGGGTGGTACTATGTGCATGAGGCACTCCATACCCAGCAGGCTTAGAGCTTTGTCAGTAGTGTAATCCCAGGTCCCTAACCCCAAACCAAATGCATGTTCCAGGGAATGAGCCTGGGCTAGGGAACAACACGGGCCATCAGCTGTTCACCTTGCTGTAGGAGAACCTGCAAGAACTCCTCCCAGCGTGACACCCAGGAGCTCACCTGCACCTGAGTTGCTTAGTGTTCTTCAGCGTCTGTAAAGAATAGCTCCACTGATCAACTCTATTGTTAGCTGTTTATTTTTTACTAAACATGGTTTTTTTTGTTTTGTTTTGTTTTTTTGATATATGGTACATGAGCTCACCAGAGAAAGAGACAGAGGGAGAGGGGAAAAAGAAACCATCCCCCAGGGGGGATGGCCATGCTACAATCCTCCTCCCCCATTCTCTTCTGGGGATTTTGGGCATGCATACACACATGCCTGTTGTGTTTTCCAAGCCACCAGGTCCAGGACCTGAATTGCACAGCTGACCATGTGGGATCCAGCACCTTAACGAACATGACACCGACTGGCCATGAGGGGCTGTGGTGTGTCCACGTCCCATTGGGGAGTGCTTTCTCCCTCTCCCTAGCTTTCTCTTTCTCTGTCTCTTTCTGGCCTATGCATGTGCTCCTTAGCAAAACTTAAAAAATAAAATTAAAATGGAAAAGAAAGAGAGAATGCCTTTGAAGAAATGCATTCATTATATCCTAGTGATTCTACTTTGATGAATCTACTGTAAGAAAGTGTGTGTATGTACGGTAAGGCAATAGGACAGATGTTCATCCCAGTACCGTTCATAACAACAGGAAAACGGAAACTGGTTTATTCATACAACAGACTATTACCCTTAAACGAACAAACTGGATGTGCAAGGGATCTTCAAAAGTTCATGAAAAATGCATACTAGGAAAAAACTGCTTGGATTTAATAAACTCATACTTTAACTCCATTTTCCCACAAACTTTTCGAAGTCCCCTTGTATATGTTACGACACATCTCCAGAGGACTGTTAGCCCTTAAAACAGCACGGAGGAAAGAGTTACATACAACTTGACATAATTTGGGTAAAAATTTCACAGACAAAACAGACCATATCACTTATGGATACACAGTTGTAATAAAGCACATAACTGTCCTGGGAAGGACAGGCATTAATGTCAGGACAGGGAAGAAAGGAGGAAAAAAGGGAAGGAGGAAAAGGTGCTGGGAAAGTGGGGAGTTAGCGCCATCTGGTGGCACCATTTTCTCTTTCTGAAAAATAACCAGGCTGACCAGGTCATCCTCTAACCTCAGTATCCCAGGGCCTTACTGCAGCAGGTAGACCCAATTACAATTCATTTACTCATCACAGGGTGTGAGCTATCTGGGTCTGGCCCCAGCAGAGGCAGAGGGCTCAGGAGCAGCAGTTGAGAATCTGACTCTGAGGCCAGGGCCGCTGAGCCCAAATCTCAGCTGCCATGCATTTTTTGTGCAATTCTAGACAAGGTCCTTCATGTTTCTTGCTGCTTTCTTTTCTTTTCTTTTCTTTTTTCTTTTCTTTTCTTTTCTTTTCTTTTCTTTTCTTTCTTTCTTTTTTGTTCTAAGAATTAATTTAATTTTATTAATTATTATTATTATTTCTTTTTTAATTTGACCAGAGAGAGATAGCGAGAAGGAAAGTGAGAAAAGCATGTCACCAGGTCTAGGATTCAAACTGTGCTCAGCTATGTGAAAGTGCAGTACCTTAACCACCACACCACCTGCTTGCCCGCCTCTGATTTCCTTACATGTGAACAGCATGGTAACGGAAGTGTCTCCTTCTCTTAGGGTGGTTACACAGACGTAATTTAAGACTCTCTGACCAAAGGAGGCACACAACACACATTAATATAAAAAGCTTCTATCAGAGCTGCTGGGTACATGAAGAACAGTAACACAGTCCAGGGCGTGACAATGGAGTTTAACAAGGAAGAAGTTTTATGTGCTTCACAGGACAGAATGGAGCTTGGGAGATGACATTATTCCTCCTGTAAAGAAAGACACGGAACAAGGCTCGGCAGGAAAGCACGCTGCCTCCAGTGGAAGCCACCACGCACGGCCAGCTTAAAAATGACGGTAAAGCTGATTACACAGCTTAGGACAGTAATGCTCTTATCTGACAAGTTATGTGTCAATTTCAATAAGAATTGAAGAAGACTGAAGATTTCAAAAACACTCTAAGCTTCTTTAACAGTCTAGGCCTCCAGAGAACCGGCGAGGAGAGCCGCGGTGATGGGGGTAACTAGAAGGTGCCCAGGGTTTCTAAGGTTGGATTTGAATAAATAAGGCAGCTTCAGAATTATTTGGCAAAGATTACGGGAACCTTCTTACTGAAGATGGGTTTTATTATATTAGAATCTTAAGCGAATTCTACCCAATCCTGTTTTAGCTGAACTTTGAAATTCGCAGAGCCCACCCAACTTCAGCTACTTTATATCTCCACGCAAAGCAACCGTGAGACCATTGAACTCACTCCTTCCTAGAGGTTTCGTAACCCTGCAACTGCACACATACCTGAAGCACTCCTCGAAACACCTTGTCATGTAATCCCAGAGAAAGTCTGTGCTTAGAGAAGTGATGAGCAAATTCACCGTCTTAACAATCTCAGAGGCATTTCTGTTTTCTTTGATTGTACTGTAAAAGAAGGGGAGAACACATGTCTCTGGAAAATCCTGAATTACAGGAACACTTTCTCTGAACAACTGTGGTTTGTTTTACCATGTACAATTCATTTCAAGAGAGGCTGAAAAATCCTGATAAAGATACAAACATTACTGTCATCTACAGGAAAGTGTTTGCATAACATCATCCCAAAGAATATTCATTTAAAAATTTTTTTAAAAAAGATTTTTGCCATAAGGCAAGTGTGCCTACTGAAGACAGACAGAGACAGTGAGGGACAGAGGGAGAAATCACCTCCTAGGAGGTATGGTCATACTGCAATTCCCTTTCCTGCACTCTTCTCCTGGGATTTTGGGCATGCACGCACATGTGCCCAGTGTGATTTTTAAGCTGCCAGGTCCAGGACTCAAACCGTGGTCAATAAGAGGCAGTCCAGTGTCTTAACCACTATGCTACCTGCTGGCCCCAAAACAATATTTATTCTGACACATTCTCTTAGAAATAAGTTTAAGGGAACCAGCAGTTAGCGTAATAGCTATGGCGCTGGACTCCCACGTAGTCGACTGTGGTTCGCGTCCTGGACCCGGTGGCTTAAAACTCACACCGGGCGCGTCTGCGTGTGTGTCCAAGATCCCGAGAGGAGAATGGAGGAGAAGGGATTGCAGCGTGACCACCCCCCCTGGGGGGTGATTTCTCGCTTTCTGTCTGTCTCTTTCTGTCTGGCTGGGGAACACACGCGCCCTATAGCAAAAACCTTTCAAAAAAAAAAAAAAGAAATAATTTTTTGCATGGAAAAACAGAGTGGCTGGCAGGTGGTATAGTGGTTAGGGAGCTGGACTCATGCATGGATCACGGTTCGAATCCTGGACCTAGCAACTTGAAACTCATACCAGGCACGTGTGTGTATGCTGTGTGTCTAAAATCCCAAGAGAATGGAGCAGAAGGGACTGTGGGTGGCCATCCCTGTTGGGGGATGATTTCTCACCTTCTGTCTCTCTGATGAGTATATGCGCCTTATAACAAAAATCTCTAGGGAAAAAAAAAAACACATAGAAAAATGCATCATGACTTTCTTGACAACCTAACAGATAGAAGTTTCTATAGAAAATCAGTTTTAGTCCAACTGTAGATAATTAGATACTTGACTGGTAGAATAACATAGTACAACCAATTGGCAAGTAAGTTGGCTAAAATTTTGTCTTCTGTGGCTCAGGAAATTTACTCTAGGAGTTTACCAAACAGAAATCCTTGTACAAGTATACAAGGTATGTGCAGAACATACTGTAAGGCCATTTTAAAATACTGGAAAAGTGGAAACCACAAAAAAGTTCATAAGAGATTGTCTATTCAGGCATGATTTATTAAATAAATGATAAATCCTTAATGAGAAATCTAAGACGATTATTAAATTCCTCATAGAAAAGGAATTTAATTGTGGCCTAGCAGTCAAGGGAGCTGGATCCCAGATGGCCGACTACATGGTTGCAGTCCCAGCTCCAGTGGCTTAAAAACACATGTGTGCATGTACACCCAGAATTCCAACAGGATAAAGAGACAAGAAAGGACTGGGGCATGACCTCATCCCATGGGAGGTGCTTTCTTTCTTCTTTCTCTCTTTCTGTCTCTCTCTGATGAGCACACATGCTCCCCTGATTCTAAATAAACAAATAAACAGAACAGTGTAGAGGTACTCACATTTCCATTAAATAAATAAATAAACGGTTAATGTAATTCCATCTTTAAAATGAAAGATAGGGGGACCAGCAGTTAGCATAATGACTATGACACTGGACTCCCCTGTAGTCGACCATGGTTCGCGTCCTGGACCCGGTGGCTTAAAACTCATGCCGGGGGTGTGTGTGCGTGCGTGCCCAAGATCCCAAGAGGAGAATGGAGGAGAAGGGATTGTGGCGTGGCCATCTCCCCTGGAGGTGATTTCTCACTTTCTGTCTCTATGTCTCTCTCTGAGAGCGCATACACCCTATAGCAAAAACCTCTCCAAAATAAAAATGAAAGATAGGTGGGCAAACCCAATCGCATGGTGGTTAAGGCAGCTAGATCCCACATGGCGGTCTCTGTGGTTTGAGTCCCAGAACTGGCAGTTTGAAATCGTGCTGGCCATATGTGTATGTGTGCCCAAAATCCTGAGAAGAGAATGTCAGAGAAGGGATTGTGGAATGGCCATCTTTCCTAGGGAGTGATTTCTCACTTTCTGTCTCTGTTTCTTTCTAGTGAGCACATGTGCCTTATGCAAAATCCTAAAAAGAAAAGAACAAGAAACTACTGTCACCTGGGAGAAAAACGCAAACACTAAGAACTCTCCGTGGTACATTTACAATTAATGAACCAGGAAAATCTTAGAATCAATTTAAAGTTTCAATATGCCCAATGCCAACTCAGGCAGTGGGAAATTATATTAACAGTAGAGCAAAAGGGGAAAGGTTTAGTACCTTACAAAGAATAAATGAGACAGGGAACCAGCAGTTAGCGTAATGGCTATGTCGCTGGATTCCCACGTAGTCGACCACGGTTCGCGTCCTGGACCCAGTGGCTTAAAACTCACGCCAGGTGCGTGTGCATGCATGCCCAAGATCCCAAGAGGATAATGGAGAAGAAGGGATTGCGGCATGACCATCCCCCCTGGGGGGGTGATTTCTCACTTTCTGTCTCTATGTCTCTCTCTGTCTGGCGAGCGCACGTGCCCTATAGCAAAAACCTCTCATTAAAAAAAAAAAAGAATAAATGAGACAGAGATTTATAGATAGCTCCACCTTCGAGGCTCAGTGCCTGCCATCTCCCACACAACCTGCCCCTGTCCAGGGCACTGGAGCCTGTGCCCTGGAGTGTCCTTGCCTTGGTCTCTTCCTGCCCCAGCTGCTCCCTGACCATGCACATCCCTGGCTCCACTACCGGAACCCGCTCCCCTGCCAGCTGCTCTCTGTTCGTCTCTTTAGAACCTAGCACACAGATCAAGCTGCCTTTGCTGAAGGGTGTCCACACTTGGTCAGTGAATGCTGACAACATGGTGGCTGGGAAAAACAGTCTAGACCAACTCCTTCTAAACTCTCCAGCATTCAGTATGGAACAGTCAACCCGCACTGATGGACTTAAAGATACAGGGTTTTTTTTTTTTTTTAAAGTTATTCATTTATTTTCAGAGAAAGTGAGAGAGAGGGGGCCACCCCAATAGGGTCCTCATGCCATAACCTGCCCCTAATCTAAGCTACTGAGAGTCCCAGGCAAGCTCCAGGACACACTCAGGACCTTCCCTATGTGGGTCCAGTTCTGTAACCACCCCACCACTGCTTGGTCCCAAGAGCATAGGTTATTTCAATGAGTGGTCTTATCTACTATATTGCTACCTTCATAAATGGACTTCATAATGGACTTCATAAATGACAGTAAACAACAGAAGGAAAAAATCACAGTGCCACCTGGGAGGAAAATGTGTGAAGTAAAGAGGCAAAACCCATACCTTATCAGCGAATTTCCACTCTGAGTGTAGCTAAGTTTAAGGTCAGAGCCAAGGGCATCTCTACAGTAAGAGTAAAAGGCCCTGATGACTTCAAGAAACAAATTCTCAACCACTTGAGGCCCTGCAAGTAAAGAGAAAACGGGTAGAGAAAGATTGACAATCCATTTTTAAATCAATAAATGATAGACATAAAGCATACACAGAATAACTCTGTATCTATACATGATTCACATAGTTTAAAATGTATGGAAATGTGGTCAAGGTGGTTAAGGTACTGGGTTTCCACATGAGTCCCAGACGTGGCAGCTCAAAAATCCTGCTAGACCCGTGAGAGAGAGAGAGAGAGAGAGAGAGAGTGTGTGTGTGTGTGTGTGTGTGTGTGTGCCCAAAATCAGAAGAGGAAGATGGAGGAGAAGGGACTGCGGTATGACCATCCTCCCTGGGGGGGTGATTTCTTACTTTTTTTCTCTCTGTCTCCTGGCAAGCACATGCACCCTATGGTAAAAACCTAAAAAAAAAAAAAAAAAAAAAAAAAAAAAAAAAAAGGAAAAGAAAAAAGTATGAAAACTTAACTTTAGTAGTGACAATGACAATGTTACCTGGGGGAATAACATTCATGAAAATAGCCAAAATTTTTTTGGGGGGAGTTTTTGTTTTGTTTTGTTTTGTTTTTTTGCTATAGGGCACGTGTGCTTGCCAGACAGACAGAGAGAGACGGAGAGACAGAAAGTGAGAAATCACCCCCCGGGGTGATGGCAACACCACAATCCCTTCTGCTCCATTCTTCTCTTGGGATATTGGGTACGCACGCACATGCGCCCGGCGTGAGTTTAAGCCACTGAGTCCAGGACTCAAACTGCGGTCAGCTACATGGGAGTCCAGTGACATAGCCATTACGCTAACTGCTGGTCCCAAAATAGCCAACATTTCAACAAGAGCTTACTATTTGCTGGACACCATTCTGAGCATCAGCGCCTATCATCGTACTAAACCCTCCCAGCAGCCAGCAGCCGTATGAACAGGTGTTGTGTCGCTGTCCCTGGTTCCACCCAGGTGACTGAGGCACCAAGGGGCTGTGGAATTCGCCCTGGCCAGATCCTGCTAGACGGAGGCAGGTGGTAGGCTGTGTGAGTTAAGTGTGCACTCACCGTTTAGAAGAAAGGCTACTCAACACCAATATCCAGAGCAGGGCAGGTCCCCTTTTCTGAATTCTATTAATTATGAGCCAAAAAACAAAAAAGAAGTAACACCAATCCTGAAAAGCTCATGAGGATGGCACAAGAACTGGACCAGCCGTGAGTCAGAGAAACGTCACTGCCAGTCAGGCAGGGACAGGGCAGAGCATTTCTACTCCACAAACAGCAGTTATCAGGCAGGTGGGAGACGACTTCACACTCATGCATCCGGAGGGATGAAAACACAACTGATTCAAAGAAATGGAAAGCTCTGTCAACATACAATGGATCCCCTTATCTGCAGGGGATATGTTTCTTCCGAGACCTCCAGGTAGATGCCTGAACGTGCAGAGAATACCCAATCCTACATACACCATGGTTTCTCAATCACATATCCAAGATGGCTACCGAGTGACTGGTGGGCAGGTTGCGTACACAGCAGGGATCCACTGGACCATGGGATGATTCATGTCCCAGGTGGAACAGAGCAGGATTGCTTGGGAGTTTATCACACTACTCAGAATGGCATGAAATTTTAAAATCATGTTTACTTTTGGAATTTTCCATTTGATATTTCTCTTTTTTGAAGAGGTTTTTGCTATAGGGCGCGTGCACTCGCCAGACAGAGAGAGACAGAGAGACAGAAAGCGAGAAATTACCCCCCAGGGGGGATGGCCACGCCACAATCCCTTCTCCTCCATTCTCCTCTCGGGATCTTGGGCACGTAAGCACACGCGCCCGGCGTGAGTTTTAAGCCACTGGGTCTGGGACGCAAACCGTGGTCGACTACATAGGAGTCTAGCGACATAGTCATTACGCTAACTGCTGGTCCCCCATTTGATATTTCTGAGTCGTGGTTGACTGTGAGTAACTGAAAGGATGGAAACCTCACCTGTGGATAAGGGAGGAAGCACTGTGTGTAAAAATAATCAGCAGGTGGGCCTAGTCCCACTGTGTCTGTGTAAAAATAATCAGCAGGTGGGCCTAGTCTTTCACACTTTTTTCACAAAAGCATTAGATGTGCCTCTGAGAAAACTGTTTTCATGACAGGCCTGGTGTGTATTTTATCCAGAGCATAAGGGGAAGAAAAAGGGGAGGCCAACAGCTGGTGTGGTGGTTAAGGTGCTGGACTCTCACAGAGCCAATTCAGGTCACAGGTGGCTTGAAAATGGTGCTGGGCAAATGTACATGCGTGCCCTGTATTCTGAGAGCACAGAGGAGACAGGATTGTGGTATGGCCACCACCACCACCACCCCCCGGTGGGTGATTTCTCACATTTGTTCTCTGTGAGCACACACACCCTATGGCAAAAACCTTAAAAAACAAAAACAAACAAACAAAAAAACAAGGAATTTTTACAAAATGAAGGCAATATTGTTGCCCATTGAGTTTTACAAAATGAAGGCAATATTGTTGCCCATCCATGGAGGAAGAAGCGAGGTGTGGCTCAAGCTTAGCAGTAAAAGAATGGACAGGACCTACTGACGACTATTCTGTGTCTTTAAGTGGTATACAGGGAAATTCAAAAAGGTCATGGTAAAATGGATTTAAAGTAAAAAACATCATTTATTTATTTGTTTGTTTCTTGTGATTTTCAAGCCGCTGGGTCCAGGACTCAATCTATGAAGCTGGCCATGTGGGAATCCAGTGCCTTAGCCACCAAGCCACCTGCTGGCCCCAGTATAAGCTATTTCAATGAAAAAAAAAAATTCTAAAATCCATGCTCGGTTTTTTCATAATACACATTTCTCATGAACTTTCTGAAGATCCCTTGTATAAACTCTCTTGCCTCTGAAATACGTCTTTCTTCAGACAACTAAATTATTAGAACACATTAAATGACTGTCATAATTGGGCAGAGCCTGGTATTTATTCCTTTTCAGAAAATACGACCTGGAGACCAAGCTGGTAACGTCGTTTACTTGGCTCACCAAGGGGCGCAGCTTCGACACAACTTGTGCACATTTTCAAGTCTGAGTTATATTTTCTTCTTCAAATACTTTCCTGAGTTACACAGCAGGCTCCCAATCCATTTATATAACTAGCTCTACTCTTTAGACTAAACTACAGTTTAAAATACATATATTTTTAAATTTATCCACTTGGGACCAGCAGATAGAGGAATGGTTATGTTGCTGGACTCCCACGTAGTTGATCATGGTTCAAATCCCGGCCTCATGGCTTAAAACTCATGCTGGGCATGTGTGTCTAAAATCCTGAAAGGAGAATGGGAAGTGACTGCAGTGTGGCCACCTCCCCCACAGGGGGTGATTTTTCCCTTTCTGACTCTTTCTCGGTCTCTCCAGGGGACGCACGCACCCTAGAGCAAAAATCTCTCTTTAAAAAATTATCCACTTATTTCTTCCATATGTGAGAAAGACAGAGCGATAGCACCCCCAGCAGAGATTTGATGCCACGATCCATCCCCCCAGCCTCAGCTAGCTGCAGATCATGGGCACACATATGCTCAGCATGTTGGGGGAGTCTTCAGATGTGAACTCAGAACCTTCCCGTGTGGGCCAGCTTCACAGAGCATCACGTTGAACTGCTGCACCGCCATCTGCCCCCGAAACCCTGACTTCAGAGCTGCAGTTACCCATGCTAACAGAAAACTCCATTTGTGTCACTGTGAGTGGATTAGAGCAGGAGGAGAATACTGGCTAGAGAGTCTGAACAAAGTGTAGATACCTCAAGGCAGCACTGTAAGGGCAGAGCGTGGAAGAACAAACGCTTCAGACCCTGGCTTTGGTCAGGTACAGCTAGAGCCACATGCCTCTTGGACTGCAGCTCATCTTATGCTGTGGGAAGGCTCTCGGGAGGCTGCAAGTGCAACCAGGCAAGCACTTGTGTCCTCACCAAAAAAAAAAAAAAAAAAAAAACCTTCGGCCCCAGTGGCCTTGGGCAAATGATCTGCTCTTGCTAAACCCTAGCTCCCTATCTGTAAAATGAGTATACTAAGAGAGCCAAGTCACAGCTGTTAGAGGTATGTGTAGAGACATACACCACATGATGTATGCAAATCACCTGGTACCGAATAACTGCTCAAACAAATGTCAGCAATTATTATTGAAAACCAGTGAGAACAATGTAGGACCTCAGTTTCCCTTCCATCTAACTTCACTGGGAACCTTTTCCCCTCTTGTACCCTTAGAGCCTTGTACATTCCCTGCCACAGGGCAGATGCTCCACACTCACTTCTGAATGAATAAACAGGGGGCAAGGGGGTGTGGGGAGACAGGGATGTCACCAAGGTCCCAAGCTCTCTTGTTCTCTACAAACAGCAAGCAGGAGGGAGCATGCCTGAGCACCCACATGACACCCTCAGCCTGTGATACACTGAAGTTCAACCCTAGATTAGAGGAAGTGTCCCTAAAAAACAAACACTGTGGGTGCTCCAGAGGCACCCCATGGGTGTGCATGACTGTTGTCAACAGTATCTTCCTAGCAAAAACACTCAAGTGAACATGCAAAACTTTTCTTTCTTTGGGAGGGGAGGGGGTTTGCTATAGGGTGCATGCGCTCGCCAGAGAGAGAGAGACAGAGAGACAGAAAGCGAGAAATCACCCCCCAGGGAGGATGGCCACGCTGCAATCCCTTCTCCTCCATACTCCTCTAGGGATCTTGGGCACGCACACACACGTGCCTGGCATGAGTTTGCCACCGGGTCCGGGATGCGAACCGCGGTTGACTACATGGGAGTCCAGCAACATAGCCATTACGCTAACTGCTGATCCCCATGCAAAACTTTTCAATGGTCCCAGATATGGTAACTGAATCATATAACATGACTCCAGGATACTGAAATTCAGGAACCAGATGGTGGTATGGAGGTAAAATGCAATGGCTGATCCACGTGGGAAGGTTCCGTGTTTGCATCCAGAGACCTCCGTGAGTGTGCTGGGCATGCGTGCTGTGAGCTGGGGTGGCTGAGGCTGGAAGCAGACTGCAGCATCAGGGCTCTGTTGCAGACGCTGTCTTTGTCTCTCTCTCACTCATGGAAGAAATAAATAACCTTAAAAAGAAAAGATTCTGAAATCTTAAGAGTAAATTATAGTCAAAATAATGTGCTGATTGTGCACCTTACCCTGTTTCAATTCCCCAAAGCAGGTAATCTGTGTTTGGCATATGATGGTAGCAGTTTTCTAACTTTACCTATTTCTGGCTTGTCAAGTAGACTGACGAGGATGCGGAAGGGCTTCAGGTACGTGTGGTGACGTTCCTCGACGTCAGCGTCTGAGAACTTCTGATGGAGTATCTCAGCCAGACCCTAGTTTTTAAGAAGCCATACATTAGGATACTGTACACAGGGAAGTGTGACATTATTGGTTGTTCTAACTGGTAAATACACTGGGATAGAAAGAAAACCAATTGCCAAGCACCTAGCCAGCTCTCAACCATATACCAAGGGACACACCAAGGTCTACTTTGAAGTCTCACAAAGAAGTTCACTGAAGAATTGTGATCAGGAGCACCCTGAATGAGGTCAACTTTCCAGAAACACTTCTTTACCTCGACTAAAAGATCCTTGGAGTATTTTTCAAAAAAATAAGAGGATTGATCTTCATAAGAATTTGAGATTTCGGATTCTGGAACGACGGTATTTCCTTTAATGTCTGAGCCTATAAAAGAACAAGAACAAAGAGCTCTGTGCTTTTAAAGGATATCATATATGCAAAGGTCTCATACTCTGAAATGTTTAAAATATAACTCCTCCAACAGAAATCCAAAGTCAGATCCAGAAAAAGCCAGTCACATTTTCTTCTGACAGTGGTGTCTAAGGATCAGACATGCAGAACTCCATCTCAGCGGGAATCCAATTATTCAATAGTTTGTCCCAAGAATTCACCCTGACTCTCTTTCACAAGTGCGATTACAAGTATATAATGGAATGAGGGCCATTTTCTTCTTTTCCTTTTTGCCAGATGACACATATGCTTGCCAGGGTGAGAGATGAGAAACAGAGAGGAAGGAGGAGAAAGCATCCCCCTGTGGGGTGTGGTCATGCTGCAATCCCTTTTTCACTTCTCTATCCTGTTGGGATTTGGGGCACACATATACTTGCCCGACAGGATTTTTAAGCCATGATTTGAATAGCAGTTGGCCATGTTGGAGCCGGCTCCCTTACTACTAGGCCACAGCTAGTCCAGCGATCTTTTTTTTTTTTCCCCTCAAGATTTTTGCCAAAGAGTGTGTTTGGTCACCAGAGAAAAGAGAGACAGAGAGAGGGAAAGTGAGAAATTACCCTTCAGAGGGAATGGCCATGCCACAGTCCCTTCTTTTCCATTATCCTCTTGGGATTTTTGGCATGCATGCACATGTGCCTGGCATGATTTTCAGGCTCCTCCCGAATGAGTTCAGAGACTGCATGCACACACGTGCACTCACACACATACACAGAAACAGAGTTGCCAGGTCTGGGAGTTGAATTGTACATTAGGCCATGTGGGATCCAGTGGCTTAACCTCTATGTCACCTGCTAGCCCCTAAGGATCACTTTTAAAAAAACAATTGTTGGGGCCAGCAGGTGACATGGTGGTTAGGGGCACTAACCACTGTTCAAGTCCTGGACCTGGTAGCTTGCTTTCTCACTCTCCCCACCCCCGCCCTGAACAAACTGGAAAATAATAATTACAAATAAAGTTAAAATAAAAATAATTCTTTAAAAAAATTGCTTATTTGCCCAGCACTATGTAAGATCAAGGTAGTCCCCATGTGAGGGGACTACAAAAGTTCACGGAAAAATGGAATTAAAGTACGAGTTTATTTCGGTGCGCAAAGGAGACACTGAAACTCATGTATAGTTTCTTTATAATATTTCTTTAAAAGTTCATGTTTCCAGAACTTTTTGAAGACTCTTTTACATACCCCCATGCTGAGCTACAAGTAAGTCTATAAGGGCCTCAGGGCAGGAAGAGTGTCCTCGAGTGAGAGCATGGCCTATCTCCACAGTTAGTCAAGTCCTGTCAAGAGTGGGGCTGTGCGTTTAACAAAATCAGCCTTTCAACACAAGTCCTTAAAAAGCCTGCAAATATTCTCCTTAAAAACCTGAGTAAGCTTTCATGCAATGACTGTGTTCTTGCTATTTATTTTATTTTTTTCTATCTAATCATTGTATATCTTAACAGTGTACAATATGTTTTTTTTTTCTTTCTTTGGAGAGGTTTTTGCAATAGGGCGTGTGTGCTCGCCAGACACACAAGAGAGAGACAGAGAGACAGAAAGTGAGAAATCACCCCCCCCCCAGGGGGGAT